GTCAGGGGGGCTGGTGGGAGGTGGATCCAGGCAGGGCAGAGGTTGAGGGGGCTGGGGGAGTAAGCAGGGCCAGCAGAGGACTACCCCCCCATGGTTGCCTCCTCCAGCCCCCCCAACCCTTTACTTACAGGCACTGGAGCCCTGATGCTGAACACATGGCCTGGCCGGCCATGCATTTCAGCACCAGGGCCAAGGGCCAACCATAGTTATGCTCTGGCAGTCTCCATGGAGGACCCAGCCTCTGGTTGCCTCAGGACATGGTCCCTGCCCTGCTTTTTTAAACTTAGTGTTTTTTTAAACCCCTGGATATCCAGGGGTCTAATTTTCTCCCCACAGTGCAGCGCGGGGAACAGTTTTTCATTCCTGCAAGTGCCTGTTGCCCCGTCTCAAAGTGGTTTGAGATGGGGCAAGAGGCACGTGCGTGCTCGTGTGGACGTGCCTTAAAGGTACATATGGAGGACAGCTTCTAAGCAGCCATTAGGAACCCTGGACAATCTCTCCCACTTGCAGGGTGCCAAAAGGGTCAGATCTCTAGGGTAATTGGTTTGAAATATTAATCAGATTCACACTGAGAGCTGAGGCTGGTTATTCAGTGAAAAAAGGGAAATGAAAGCTGTATTGTAAACCTGTACTCATGGAAGCAGATTTATAAAACAAATGGCACACAATTGTGCATCTCATTTGCATTTACAGTGATATAAAACTACCTTGCTGGCAATACTGCTTGATCCCATGAGCTCTAATTCTAAAAGCCAGAGCTTCTACTCCCTGAGCTAGAAGGCAGAGGTCTGTTAAACATCACTGCAGCAGGCTGTAGGCCAGTTGCCATTAGAGGGAACAGAGTGTTCCAATGAACATGTATGCGCATTAGATAGCATTATTCTCACTGAGCTCAGAACAGGTAACTGCATGCACTACTGACCATAATCTGCCTGCTATACGTATATTGCCTTCATTTAGCATGCACAGTTTCAGTAACCGGGTATGTAAAATACACAGTATTTTGGATACACAATCTCTCTCTATGATTAACAGTTTAAGGGTAAAACTAATGAAAATTGTACAAATTTTGCAAATTAAGCAACAACGAAGCTGCATGATCCTTGGATATACAGGGGTCACATCCCAGGTGTTTACTTTGCAGAATTTTCCTCACATATTTCCTTCATTAGTGAGATGTTTGGGTATTTGAACAAGAAGTTGGGGGAATCCTAGAGAAATTACAGAGGAAATTTAATTGTAATTGGGAAATCAGATGACCGGAGTCTGGCGGGGAGGCAGAGCAGTATGGAGCTCCAGGCCAGCAGGCCAGCAGACACTGCTGCTTCTGTGTAGGAGCAACATAGGCGGGGTGGAGCAGGAGCCACCCTGCCTGCATGTGTTATGTCCTTGATCATATCATATACAGGAGGATTGGTGCCTGCCCAGCCACCTGTTTGGTGAACCATGCTGCTCTGCCTCTCTGCTGGACTCTAGCCTGTGACTTTTGACCAACCAGCCAGGACCAGGGTACACAATCCTGGAGTGTCCCAGCCAAACTGACATGGATGGTCACCCCATGCATACCCTTGCATAGGAATGATCTTACAAAGAAGAATACAATAACTTATTTTAGAAGAGTAGCAGGTCTTAGAAGAGAGAACCTGGAAGAATGAACTGTATTCCTTGGTGAGATAATTATATTTGCCCCCAAGACTTGATATACTGGATAATCTGTTGGTCCTAAACTGGGGCCTGGATGGTACTGACACAGGGACTAGATGACCTCTGAGATCCCATTCAATCTCATGTTTTTGTGTACTGCTATTAGCACAGTTTTCTTCAGTTGTCTGCGTTGTTGCAGAATCCTTATTTCTTTCTGGAAGCATATGTTGTGCTTTGGGTAAGACCAAGTGGCTATTGGTCTTTTTAAAAGATCTGTTTTACTTCAACAGCAAGTTATCAGGTCCAGGAATGGCCATTTATACAGTAAGAAAGAAATTACTAAGTGGAATTCTATTATTTGTGAGATACCAGGCTTCATAATCTGAATTTAAAATCTGTGAAAACTGGAGCTCAACGATGAAGGAGAGCTTACAAACTTCTTTATTGTATCTTTTAAATAAGACTCCTGTCCTGTATACTCCTTTCAGATGTCACTGATTTGTGATCTTAAGCAAGTGTTTTATATTCACTGTATCTGAGTTTATCCAATTGTAAAATGGATGTACTAAAATTTATGCATAGTGCACTGCACAAGAGTGAAGTGAAAGTTAACATTTAGAAAGAACAGAAATCCTCAGAATATTCTTTTTTTTTTGCGTACTAAAGTACAGCAGTTCTGGCTCTTACAAATAATTTAATTTAATATTGCGAGTTACTGAAGCAAACTGAAGGCATGACCTCA